GCAACCAAACCTTCGAGGACCATGGGCCTTTGATCTACTCCAACCAGGCTCCTTTTGCAGTCTTCTGTTTTAAGGCAGCAGCAACCTGTCCAGACCAGGTATGTTCTCTTGACATTCACCTGCCGTGTCAGTCTCCTGGTCCACAAAACATTGCAGATCCTGCAACAGCTGCTCAGCTATGCTCCTAGGATTGCTTTTTAAGGGAAAGGTCCTGGAAATAGGATGCCTGATCTGCCACAAAAGCTTTTGGCAAGCAATTGCAAGAAGGAGCCTCCGGCACATATTTCCAGTCACCTCCGCCTTACTGGAGGAGCTGAAGACAGCTTCAGACATCTAACAAGAACACTCCCAAAAGAATGAATTAACATATCTTCAGTGTCTTAGGGGAAAAAAGAATCCTTGTTTTGCCTTTCTCATCGGCTCCCCCCAGTATTCCTTCCCCTTGCAATGGCCTTCTCTTCCAGGAAGGGCTGAATCGATTGAGCAATTGCTTCCCACGGACAAGGACCTGGTTTGCTCTTCAGCTTAACCTCAGAGGCTGAATCTACTCATCATTATTTCTAGTTGTTTGGGAGGCGAAGGCGGGCCAGGATATTTTGCTCCAGAGGACTCCGATTGCCTGCTCAAGGAATAGAGTGAGCTGCTTGGCTGCCAAAAACTGGAGCCCACCAGGAGGAGCTTGGAAGTGGTCAGCAGCTTCTAGGCTGGCCAGAATTATACACAGCCATCGCTTATGGCATTTCTAACCATCTTTTAAAAAGAAAATGTAGCTATCTCGATTTATGAAGGGAGGGGAAAAGTCAAAATCCACAGATGGACAATACCTTTAAAATGACTATCCAAAATATCCTTAAAGTGCACAACCTCTAGGGTTCATCGGGTTAGCAATAGGAGAGAATGCAAAATCTTTCACTTTTTTAACAGCACTTAGTCCAAATGCAGAGTTTTGGAGAACACAAGAACTTGCACTCTTTTGCATTGTTTGAGCTGTTTGCCCAGCGGTAGATGAAGCATTTCTCAGTCAAATCAATAACAATGTGTCCTCAATTCAATTCCGACTTATGGGGACCCATTTCAGGGTTTTCTAGGTAGAGATTACTCCCAAGTGGCTTATCATTCCCTCCTTCCCACGGTGCCCTGGGACTGTGCGGCTGGACCAAGGCCACAGAGGCTGGCTCTACTCTTGGGGGTAACAGCGGGGAACGGAATTCCCAACCCCTGGGTCCGCAGAGGTTGAGAGTTCGGTTCCAGCCAGCGCCCAGCATTTCTAGAAAGCCACAAAAAAGAAGCCACCACGGCGTGGGCCGGAAAGGCGCGACCGAGATCCTCTAGATTAGAACTGTGAGCCTCTGAGCGGCGCTCCAAAGTAGGGCGGGGGGGTCTCCCCTCTGGGGCAGTTGAGCGGGAGGCCGCGAAAGGATCTCGGAAGAGCCCCGCTGCTCTTTCCCGGGAAAGGCGAGAGGCCAGAGAGTCCGCACTCGCTCCTTCCGACGTGAAAGGCTTAATCGCGGGTATGAAGGGATTCTGTAGCGGGATGCTGCAAGTAAGAGCGGCGTGCCTCTGGGCACGTGCAGAATGCCTTTGCAGACGGGAACATCAGGCCTTTTCCAGGGAGGCGGGTTTGGAACCCGGCCCCTCCAACAGCAATCGCCGGTCTGGGGGAGGGGGGAGAACTGGAGCCAGGCCGTCGCCGCTGCCCCTCCACCTACCCAGCCCCTGCCCACGCCTCCCTGCCCACGCTCCCAAAGAGCCGCCCCGGCTAACTCTGGCCCGCGGGCAGCCGTCCTGTTGGGCTGAAGCAGCCGCCTTGCAACCCCGGGAGGCGAGGCGGGGAAGGGAGGGGAGGGGACGGGGAGGGGAGGACCCTCCCTTGGGTGGATCGCGTCGGGGGGGGGGCGTGCGTGCATCCAGCAAGGCAGGCCGCGGGGCCTCCCGCTCCCTTCTGCCCGGAGCAGCCTGCCTC